GACTTGGATCTGCCTCTGTTTCTATTACTGTTGCCCTTCTTCTTGTTTGAACCCTTGCCTCTGCTTTCAACATTCAACGCCGAACCACTGGTGGAAACTCCTGTTGTTTGCTTTCTAATTTCTTCAGTCAGAATCATGCTCACAGCTTCATCAAACTTCAACTTGGTCTTCCCTGCAGAGCTACTGATCGCTGTAACTGTGCCACTCCAACTCTCGGGTAACTGCCCCAGAATTAGCAGTGCTCGGACCTCGTCTTTGAAGTCGATATCAACAGACTCTAATTGCCCAACTATCTCGTTGAACGCATTTAGATGTTCGTTGAACTTACCACCTTCGACCATCTTCATGTTAAACAACTTCTTAATCAAGTGCACTTTGTTCGCTGCAGAAGGGTGTTCATACATACTAGAAAGGGCTGCCATGAGAGACATCGTCGTCTTCTCGTTCTTGATGTTGAAGGCGACTAATTTTGACAATGTCAATCTGACGGTGCCAAGAGCCTTCCTATCAAGTAATTCCCAATCTACATCCTTTGTATCCTCTGGCTTCTCTCCCAAAGGTTGATACAAATTTTTTTGAAACAAGAGGTCTTCAATTTGCATCTTCCAGAAACCGAAGTTTGTGCCATCGAACTTCTCGATCATGGATGTGGATGTCTTATCTTCTGATGTCATTACTCCCATTCGAACGGACAGATCTGATCGAAAAACTTTCAGAATTTCGTCAAACACCTTCTGTGCCCTAGATTCTCAACCAAAGGCTCTGATACCAGTTGTTAGAGTTGCACTACACAATCAACCAAAATTGATTCCAGTTGTGTGGCGGAAACGCAAAATAACAACGCACGTTGTTTGAGGAATAATTAAACAATCACAAAGAAAAAAAATCACACACAAGAACACAAGATATACACGGTTCACCCAAATCTTAGGGCTACGTCCATGGAGCACACCGAACAAATTCACTATGAAAAAGATGAAGAATTATAAGGAGAATTCTCTCTCAATCTCTCTCAAGTGCTCTCTCTTATATTGGCACACACCTATATCTAATTTTCTCACCATATTTATAGAGTCCCTAAACTTGTCCTATAAGAATTTGTCTTTTGTAGAATCCAAAACCAATAAGGAAGTTAAATCAGATTAGGAAACTGAATTTTCCTTAAACCAATAAGGAAGTCAAATCAGATTAAGAAACTGAATTTTCCCTAACAGATTAGGAAACTGAATTTTCCTTACAATTCAGTACTCTTAAAGTTTCCATATAATTAAATCTTCATAAAAATCTTCCACCTAATCAGACTCCATAAAACCACAACAAATTCTTCTTTGTTGTCAAAAAGAAAAAAAAGGAGGGGGGGGGGGGGGGGGGGGGGTAAGCCATGCCTAAAGAGACTGCTGAATCCCATGCACATTTGTCTCTAATTTCTCAAAACGAGTGTCCAATCCATGCAACTGAGTAACTTGAGTCGAGAGAGTATGTACTTGGGTTGACAGAGTAGTGGATTGAGTGGTGAGAGCTAAACCACCATTTACTAGTGGACGGAGAAGCGATGTACTGTCAGAAGACTCTAGAGATAGTGAACATCCAATTGTTTCAGGAGGAAGAATCTGCTCCTCATCTGTACGAGGGTCATCTTCATTGTTTTCTTCTTCATCAACTATTGTTTGGGGTGATGATGATTTTATCCAACAACCATTTTCATCTTTCTCTAAATGCATTTGGGTGAGCGTTGTCTCAGTCATTCGATCAAAAAACACCACTTTTTTTTGTCCTATCTCGGATTTTAGATCAACCTCAAATTTCTCAAAAAGGGTGGTCAAGGCAATCCCATAGGGAAGTATAGAGTTGTTCCGATTTTTGCATTCTCTCATGACATTCATCATTAAGAAGGGGAGGCTTAATTCCTTTCCTTTTAGGACACACCAAATTACAAAAACATCCATACAGGTGACATTATTCTTGCTGCTTCCCTTTGGCAGAACATCAAACCCTATAATCTTATGAATAAATCGTGCCTCCACTGTTAATTGATGAAAAGAAGGTAGTTTTGCTGTGGAGATTCTACGGTTTCCACAGATTTCCTTAAGGGCTTCACCCGGGTCAAATCCTTCATATTGAATCCATGTACTAAAAGCATATCTTTGGATACCCCCGGATGGAACATTGAAAATCAACCCTAAAGTGGAAGCATCAAATTGAATGGGTCTTCCTTTGACATATGATTCAAAGCTACTATTGTTTTCTTTGAACTCAAGGTGGGTGTAGAACTGTTTAACTAGGGTTGGATAATAAGTTTGGTCCAAGGCCAGGAACGAATCCCACACTATGGCTTTAAACAGTTCAAAAATTCTTAAATGATTTGAGAGACAAAAAGAGGAGGTGAGAACTTTACCAGAGACTATTTTTCGCAGCATAAAATCTCTATGGTAGAGTTCCTCATATTCTGGAGTTAGGAAGGAATGCTGCTGTTCCTCAGTGTGCAAATCATTCCCCTGCTTACACCTATGTTCTTCTTCTTTGTTTTGTTCCGCCATTGGCATTTTGTCTCTTGATTTGGAACCATCATCACTAGATGTAACCATTTTTGAGAAGATTCTGAAACTATTATATGAGTTGAGAAATGGATTGAGAACGGTTTAGGTTAAGATTGGTTTGAGAGAGAAGAAAGATTTGAGGTGGGTTTTAGAGAGAGAGAGAGAGAGAGAGAGAGAGAGAGAGGGTGAAAAGGGTGTTCATGATCATGGCAAAGGATCTTCATTTTTTTTTTTTTTCTATGTGAAGTCCAGAAGTCCAATAGTTTGCAGTAAACTCTCCTCTCTTCAAATACAAATTCTCAATCTATATATACAGACACATGTATATGTACTTTATATGATTAACCTTATAAAGTTCAAACGGTCCAATTTTCCAATAAAATGGAAAAGGAAAGTTGGAACTGTCGGTGTCAGCAAAGCATTTGGTTTGAACGTCACTTAATTTTGTTTTGACTTTTTAGTAGTGATGCTCTGTGGGACACAAATGGCCGATAAATAGCACGTGGCAATGCCACGTCATTTCATTCCCCCGTATCTCTCATGACACAGTCTTTCGGCTTTCTTCTCTCTTCTTTTCTGGCTGTGTCCTATTATTTCTCACTCTTTTTGAACAAAAAAATAAAAATAAAATGCACATTCATTTAACACATTATTCCCCTCACCATACTGTTCAAGTGGACATTAAAGCTATCTGGGAATTTAGGGATGCTGGATTGAATTCTCTGGATGTTGTGAAGTCTCATCCTTCTATGTTTCCGTCCTCTTATAGGGGTATGGCGGCCTCCGAATCCAAGTTTGGTTAAGTGTAATTTGGATGCGGCGTTTAAGACCATTGATGGAAGCACTGGAGGTGGACTTTTGTTTCGAAATCATGAGAGAGTTGTGGTGTGCGTAGTTGTGCTCCCACTTTTCCATGCTTCTTTAGCCCTCTCAGCAGAAGCGTTTGTCTTGCGTGAGGCACTTATCTGGGCTAAGGATTTGAATTTGCAAAATTTGTGTTTCGAAAGTGATTCTCTTGTTTTATGTGAGGCAGTTTTGGATGGGAGAGGGTGCCCCGTAGCTATGGTTTTTGATATTCAGAAGTTTATGGAGGATTTTCAAGTGGTGAAGCTGGCGCATGTTCGACGGGAAGCAAATTCTGTTGCTCATCATGCAACTAAGTTGTCTTATGGCCATGACGGGCAGGTTTTCTATGTTTTGCCTGCCAAATTAAGTGGTTTTGCAGTTGCTGATGTATTATCTTGAATTTTCTGGTTTTTGCAGTAGTTGGAAAAAAAAAAAAAAATGGCAACAATTCCTCATATGCTCTAGGTTCTTTAGTAAATAAATTTGAAGGTTTGTCCAAGTTGTGTTTGGTACCGTGGAAAAAAAAGAAAATAAAATAAAATAAAAGATAACATTAATATTAACAAAATTTCACTAAAAGGTTAGCATTTCCTTTCTTCCCACCACAGGTAATGCCAAAATTGTATCTTTCTGGATCTCTCCGTTTCTTTCTTGTCCTTTAGAAGTGTTTCCTTCTTATCCTTTAGAAGTGTTTCCTTCCGTTACTTTTCTTTTGTTTTCTTTTTCAACCATTTACTCTCCAACCAAATTGGGACAAAGGTGGGTTTGGATTTCACTTATGGCAATTTGCAAAGATTAACCCACCATTCACGTATGTGAAACGTGCCATTGTGCCAATTTGCTAATTAGTGACCCCAATTTCTCTCTGATCTTTCTTTATTTATCTTCTAAACTGAGGAGTAACAAAAGAAAGGGAAATTTCATTTAACACTAATGTAGCAAGATAAATTTTGCAATTATATTAAACACTGTAAAATTGATCTCCAAGTGTAATTCATCTGCAAATTTTGGCCACTAGAAGGATGTACAGTAAATCATTTTAACCAACCATTCACGTATGTGAAACGTGCCATTGTGCCAATTTGCTAATTAGTGACCCCAATTTCTCTCTGATCTTTCTTTATTTATCTTCTAAACTGAGGAGTAACAAAAGAAAGGGAAATTTCATTTAACACTAATGTAGCAAGATAAATTTTGCAATTATATTAAACACTGTAAAATTGATCTCCAAGTGTAATTCATCTGCAAATTTTGGCGACTAGAAGGATGTACAGTAAATCATTTTAATTATTCCCCTACTTTAGCTCCTTTTCCCCAGACATGGTATAATCCTGATCATGCAACACTATGAATTCAGTATATTGCCAAACACTAATACAATAAGCCGGTCGACTATGAATTATCGATTAATGGGTGCTGAGTGTTTCTTACTTACAATAATAATAAGAAATTTTTACATATAAATGTATTTATGGATTTATATCTACAATATTATGTAGGCAAAGTTCTATAGTTTCTTAAAAAATATATATATATATATATATATATATATATATATATATGAAGCTTGACCAAATTAATGACTCTGTTCACTCTAATTTGTTATCCAAAATAACCCTTCACATTTTGAACAAAATTACCACGCTGCCCTCTCAAAAAATATACCCTAATTCCTCTCTCAATCGCAATCTGATCACATCACAGAGACGGAGGGATGAGAAAGCTCGACCAAGAGCGTTTCTGACCAGCTGATCTGAAACACACTCACCCAACCTCTCAATCCTCACCAAACTCGACGATCGGTGGCGTAAAACCCGAGGACGCGACCGTGGAGCCCGATCTTGATCCGACCCACAACGAACGACGAACACGACGGTCTGAGAGAGCACCGATTCCGGTCACGAACGGCGGGCACGACGCTCCTCAAACCCAGTTCCACAACCACCACCACAAAGGCGGCGGCGTAGAGTTCGGACCGTTGGTGTTGTTCATCGGCTAACCTGGTAGAAGCATCTGCTTTTCCTCATTTTTTTTTTTTTTTTGTTTCGTATGCGTAGTGATACAGCCTTCAGCCCTGTTCTGAGGTAACACTATGGGCAGATTTTTTGCGCAATGGAGAAAAGAAAAAAAAGAAATTTTTTTTGACACAAGATCCAAGATCTGATCGGGAAAAAAGAAAAATATATATTGTCTCATGTTTTTCTTATTTGAGGTAAGAATTCAAGAGCTGATGGGAACGAGGTAATGGAGGGAGAGGAATGATTCGGCAACAGTATAGTATCGAGCTTTCATAGAGAATAGGGGCAAAAACGTAAATTGGTTCAAAAAGTAAAAGGGTATTTTAGGTAACAAATTAAAATGAACAGTAATGCTTCTTTAGCTGGTAGGAAGGACAAAACATTAAACGGAAGGAAGGGAAGGAAGGATGACTGAAACGACAGACAAATAAACTTTTTATTTTTCTTCCTAACAAACATAACATAAATTTTCATGTTTATATCTGGGTCAATTTCATTTGTGAGAAACTATTTTGACTACGTAATAGTGTAAATATGTGCTTTTATGTAAAAATCCCTAATAATAATAATAATAATAATAATGCGCACATTATTTGTATGCATTCCTTTTGTAAGAGGCACCTGCACCTGCTACTTCATGTGCATAATAATTGTTACAATTTGGTTATTAAATCCGAATTTTACTCAATTTTCGAACCCGCACCTTTTACTATCAAGGATAAAATTGAATTTGATGATTTAATTTACCCGAAAATTTCTACTTTTGTAGACTAAAGATGATGATGCCAGTGTTGTTTGCACAGCAAGGAGGGGTGAACCGTTGCATTGACATTAAAACACAGACGAGCACAGATACCCCAACCATTTATTATACAAGAAAGAGAAAATCCGCAGAACTCGATGATAGTGTAAAGCATATACTAGAAGGAGAAGAAGGAAAGAAAAATGGGGGGTCATCACCAAAGAACACCAGAACTTCACTGAAAAAGAAAAGGTCATGTAGAGATATTAAATGTTCATATGGTAGAACCTCAGAGAAGCATTGGAGTGCCTCAAACAAGAAAAGAACTGTAGAAGATGAACTTTCTTCAGGTGAAAAGGAAAGTGATGAAAAGAAAGTGGGGCCATCAGACGAAAAAATAAGCTCAGTTAAGAAGACAATGTCAACTCAGGGAACTGAAAGATCAGAAAGCATCAAACCTTCAGGAAAGCATAACTGTCCCTCAAATAAGTACAGAATCCTTGAAGATGAATCCTCAATGAGTGAAAAGGATGATGATTATGAGAAAAAAGAAGAGGAACTCAGGACATCATCGCCAAGAATAAAAAGTTCAATTAGAAAAAGAAGGGTGACTTCATATACCAAATGCTCTCATGGTAAAGGAGTCTCAAAGAAGCATCAGGGTGTCTTAAGAAAGAGAAGACTTCTTTTTGGATTTTCTTCTGATGAAGAAGAGGAATTTAAAGTCAATATTGCAGATTCATTATCCAGTATTGGAACAAAAATTTCAACTAAAGACAGCAAGGTAACACTAGAAGTCGAAGGCCCTGGTAAAAGAATTTCAGAAAGACAACTTGCTGCGTCAAACAAGAAAAGAGTCTTTGATAATGAATTTTATTATTGTGAGTGGTTTGATGATGAAGAAAATATGGAAGATATGGAAATAGAGTCGAGGAGCAGATGCAAAGGTTCAGATGCTGTGAAGATGAAAAGAAGTTTGGAGGGCAAAGGAGAGAAAACTAATGAATATAAGGATCTGTCTTGCTATCATTCATCTACTTCCTCCTCGAGTTCGAATGCTGTGAAGAAGAAAAGATTTTTGGAGGGCAAAGGAGAGAAAAATAATGACTATAAGGATACATCTTTCTATCGTTCATCTACTTCTTCCTCGAGTTCAAATGCTTTGAAGAAGAAGGGAAGTTGCAAAGGAGAGAAAATTAATGACTATAAGGATCTGTCTTGCAATCATTCATCTACTTCTTCCTCACCTTCCAATTCTTGTCAATTGGTTTCAGTTTCAAAAAGTGATCACAGATGCATAACGAAGAATATGAAGGTCAAAATCCCATCTTTGTTCATTTGTCCAATATATGAATTATATCTTTCTTTTCCTTCATCCCTTTTGAAATAAAGGATTTACTGGTTAACATTATATTATTGCCTTAAGCAGGAAAATGGAGAAGAGTGCTATATGTGTCATCAGTGCAGGAGAAATGATAGAAGAATTGTTGTTCCTTGCACCAAGTGCAGAAAACTACTATATTGTATCCAATGTATCAGGCGGTGGTAACTTTTCTACCTATACCCTGGTTTACTCTTGAACCTTTTTTTTTTTTCATTGGTTTTCTTTTGTTTTTCCATACCGTTCCCTTTTCATGATATTCTTTTCTTTTCCTTGGGTAAATAGGTATCCTGACTTGTCAGAAGAAGAAATTGCAGACTTTTGCCCATTTTGCCGAGGAATTTGCAATTGCACCATGTGCTTGCACTCAAGTGGCATGCTTAAGGTTTGATTATATTTTCTCTTGCTCTAGTTACGAGGCACTATATATATATATATATATATATATATATATATATATGATAAGTACCTTTAGAAATTCATGTTATAAAAAAGTGGAATTTTTAATCTTCAGATGTCTAAAAGGGATCTCACTGATCGTGAAAAGCTTCAGCATCTTCAGTATTTAATCAACACGCTTCTTCCATTTCTAAAACAAATTCATGAAGAACAAACTCTCGAAACAGAAAAGGAGTCTGGTATTAAAGGTATATTTCTCAAAATATAGGTATGAATTCTTGAAACTAATAAATTATTATATTATTCACTAACAATCTTTTGTTATAGGGGTGGTGTCGTCTCCAATTGAAATAAAAAGGACCATTTGCTGCACTGATGAGCGTATCTATTGGTAAGTTTATTTATTTGCTTTGGAGTAATTGTATGAGTTTATATATAATTCTGCTAGAACTTCTTCTTTTACAATAGCTAGCTAGCTTCTTCTTTTAACCTTTCTTGCACCTGGAGCAGCAATCACTGTGCAACTTCAATCACTGACCTCCATCGAAGTTGCCCAAATTGCTCTTATGAGCTCTGTCTTAGTTGTTGCCGGGAGCTTCGCAAGGGAGACATTTCAAGAGGCGGCAACAGAGTTGGTTTCAAATATCTGAATAGAGGTTATGATTACATGCATGGAGGAGATCCTCTACCAGAATCTTGTCATCAGGAAACTTCTGAAGATCATAATGAGCCACTAACTGTATGGGTTGCTGAAAGTAATGGAAGTATCACTTGCCCTCCAAAAGAAATGGGTGGATGTGGTAGTTGTGTTTTGGAGCTCAGGTGCATCCTTCCAGAGGGCTGGATTTCAAATTTGGAAGCAAAAGCAGAACACATTTTAAGGAACTCTAAACATGACCGAACAATTTCCAGGCCCAATTTTCGCAAAAATGGCACTGGTATGTTACTTAAAGCAGCTTCTAGAAAAGACTCTGCTGACAACTACTTGTATTGGCCGACTTCGAAAGATGTCTTAGAGGAGGAAGAGTTCTTGCGCTTCCAAAGCCATTGGGCCAAAGGTGAACCAGTGATTGTTCGACATGTTCTTGAGCAGACAACTGGTTTAAGCTGGGAGCCGATGGTGATTTGGCGTGCATTATGTGAAAACTTGGATTCAAGGACCAGTTCAAAAATGTCAGAAGTGAAGGCCATTGACTGTCTGGCAGGTTGCGAGGTAAACTCTTTCTGTGTTCCATTTTGATACCTCAAAATACATTTCAGTATTTGTAGCATGTTTTGGTTTTGGTTCCATTACACATTTAATAATTCTTGTTAGCAAAAATCCTTTTATCTTTTTTTCATTGGCAAGACACACACTCACACACCCACTTTGTTGTGAGACTCCTTTTATACTTTTACGACCCATTGTTACTTGCTAATTTTCCTTCTGATTTTATTTTGTTATATATTGCGTAGGTTGAGATCAATGCCTGTAGTTTTTTCAAAGGTTATACAGGTGGCAGAAGATATGATAATTTCTGGCCTGAAATGCTCAAGCTAAAGGACTGGCCACCATCTGATAAGTTTGAGGATCTCTTGCCACGCCACGCTGATGAGTTTATCAGCGCATTACCTTTCCGGGAATACACAGATCCTAGGTCTGGTTTTCTTAATCTTGCTGTAAAGTTGCCTTCAGATGTTCTTAAACCAGACTTGGGTCCAAAGACATACATTGCGTACGGTACTACAGAAGAACTTGGAAGGGGGGATTCTGTGACAAAGCTTCATTGTGATATGTCAGATGCGGTATGATTTTAAAAACTATCTAGTATTGTTGCACTTTGGGTAGTAATGAATTGGGCCAGCCATTGTTCCTTCCTGATTTGACAATCTATCTCTTCTTCCATCTCTTGTAATTAGAACTACTATATTTTTAGAAATTCTCCATTCAAAGTTCATTGTTAGTTCTAAGAAGAGGTCTTTTTTGTGAAAATCGTCTCTTTATATATGTGAATGACCAGATGTTAGCTTCAAAGTTCAATTATAAACCAACTTCTTGGCAATGCACAAAACTTGGACAATTAAACAAAAATGTGACCATTATGTGTTTCCTTTTCTTTTTGTTAATTTGGTGTCCTCAAAGATGTTTCATTTCATCTGTATTACGGACCAAATTTCACAAACATGGTTTTGTACATAGTTCCTGCTTTTGTGTAGGGCTCTTGTTGCATCTTTTTGATATTGAAGTCTTCAATATGTTCTCCCCCTTCTACTGGGAACTTATCTTCTTCCAAATTTTGGCTGTTGCAGGTTAACATTTTGACACACACTGCTGAAGTTGTGTTGGATAAGGTGCAGCATTCTGCAATCAAAATCCTGAAACAGAAACATAGGGCACAAGATGAAAGAGAACGCTTAGATCGAGAGAAACTTGGTAGTGACATCAATGAAAAAAGAGTAGATGAGCATGAAAGACAATGTACTTTTCCTTGTTCTTCACCAGAAGGTGCAATTGAGGAAATGGGTGATGCACTATGGGACATTTTTCGAAGGGAAGACATACCCAAGTTAAAAGAATATCTTACAAAGCACTCAAGAGAATTTAGACATACCTATTGTTCTCCAATAGAACAGGTAATTTTCTGACAAATAACATTTCAGTTCAGCTTATTCAAATGTATTATAGGATCTGAGAAAAATCATTGTTTTTATTAGGTGGTTCATCCAATTCATGACCAATCCTTTTACCTGACTTTGGATCACAAGAGGAAACTCAAGGAGGAATTTGGTTAGTATGTAAAGATGCATTATTAATTTTTGTTACAAGTGAGGAATAAAACTGCAATTTATGAATTATTTATTTATTTATTTATTTATTTATTTTGTTATAGGAATTGAACCATGGACGTTTGAGCAACGACTTGGAGAGGCAGTGTTCATTCCTGCTGGATGTCCGCATCAAGTCAGAAACATGAAGGTATTCCTTGATGTTTTTATTCATTTATTATTTTATTTTTTATATTCAAGTCGAGAATGGCATTCATGAACATACATCCATTAGTTTTTCTTTCCAAGTCATCATCTAAATAATATCAACATGTCACGGCATCACTTTTATTAGGATTTAATTGTGTACATATGATAACCATATCACCTCATAAAAAATTAGAACGCTTATGAAAAACGGCCAGTCGGTAAACCGGTGGGTACAAAATCCGGTCTGAAACTACCGGCGACAAACAATGGTGTGACACCCATGGTGGTTAAAATCGCAATTCTAACTCGTAGAATCGTGCGATTTTGCAATCCAAATGCCCAAATCGATCCAATCGCAGAAAAATCGTGGCTTGTGCAGAATCGTGGAGTTGTACAATTCTATACAATCCCAACGATTTGCGATCCAAATGCCCAAATCGATCCAATCGCAGAAAAATCGTGACTTGTGCAGAATCGTGGAATTGTACAATTTTATATGATCCCAACGATTCTGAATTATCCATGATTGTGGTCTTGTTTTGGGTTTAAGAATTGTGAAAAAACCCTAAATCGATTACCACAGTGCAACAAGTCCTTCTCTCTCGCGGTCTCCAGCACAACTCCGAGAAGAGATAAGATGCAGAGGACAACAAGAATGCTAGGGTTTTGGGGAAGAAGAAGCAGAAGAGGAGGAGAAAGGGAACAAGAGGCTAAGAGAGCTTACCTGAAAAAGACGAGAGGAGCTGGCGCGGGGAATTGCAACAGGGGAAGGTTAGTCGGGAATTTTGCTCTCTTCGTCTGCAACTGTGGAATTTTGCTCTCTTCAGATGGGCAAGTTGAACTAGGTCATACTTGCCTAAAAAAGATTGGTCTTGGGTCTTATACTTTTCTTGTGCTCTAATTGTTCTATTGTACAATTGGGCCATGGGCTTTGCAAACTTTAAGTTTTTGAAGCCCAATGTAATATTTACATTTATATAAAATTTGTATTACATTCCAAAAACTAAATAAATAAATAAAATTTTAAAAGAATCTATTGATAATTTTATATAAACTTATTCTTTTATATATATATTTTTAGTTAAAGACTTATTTTTTTATATTTAGCTTAAGATGATTCCTTAGAACACCTTGAACAAGACAGTATCAAGACTAAGATTTGTAGTAGGAAATTGGCCCATACAGTGGTAGAACCTTCTGAACCACACGTACCACCTTTTGAAGACATCAGTACGATTTAATCCTAAACTTAGGCTATATATTATATATTATATATTTGTGTTTTTGGTTCATTTTTTATTTATTTTGAAGACAATTTTTTTTGAGAAAGTTTTAATTATATTTTTATTAGTTTGGTAGAATCTTACGATTTACTATTCGATTTTACGATATCCAAAACGATTCTAAATAAAATCTTTATTTTAACAATCTTGGTGTGACCATATCGTAGTGAATACACGATATTCCGTTCATCAAACGGAGAGAATGCATTTCCCATGAACATTATATAGTTTTCTCACAACAATTTTTGTTTATATTATATATAGTTTCTCATAACAATTTTTGTTTTATCCATAAAACAAGTCATGCACCAAAGTCGCAGTAGACTTTGTTTCCCCTGAAAATGTACGAGACTGCATGAAATTAACTGAAGAGTTCAGACGGCTACCTAAAGACCACAAGGCCAGAGAAGACAAACTAGAGGTACAACATACATGCTATTATTTAACATCAGTTCTGAATATCATTATTATTTTATTTCTATGTTTTGACATGGTCAAATAAATAAAAAATATTTTCTCATACAATTTTATTTTATTTATTTATTTATTTTTTCACTTTGTGGAATGACAGATAAAGAAAATGATTATTCATGCAATATCATTATTATTTTATTTCTATGTTTTGACATGGTCAATTAAATAAATTTTTTTTTTTTCACTTTGTTGAATGACAGATAAAGAAAATGATTATTCATGCAATTGACAAAGCAGTTACAGAAATTGAAGGCTCATATGCTCATTGACGATACCTTTCTCAGAATCTGCAGCAAAGCATTCAGTCTTGTATTTTTTTTGTTTTGCTACTGTGGTCCTTGGATTTTTGTAATTAATGTATAAACGCCAGGGGCATTTTAGCAAATCTAGAGCTAGCATTGGTATTTGGGTCTGCTTAATAAGGTGTTGGCCCATTGAGGATATTGGGAGATTTATATAATATATATGGAGTAGCCTTCTTTCTTTTTCCCTTTTTTTTTTTTTTTTTTCGGAATCTGCATCCTAGAATTCACATCAGTCTTGTATTTTGGTCCTCGGATTTTTGTAATTAATGTATAAATGCCAGGGACATTTTGGTAAATCTAGAGCTAGCATTGGTTTTTGGGTCTGCCTAATAAGGTGAAGCCGTTGGCCCATTTGGGAGATTTTGGTAAATCTAGAGCAAGCATTGGCCCATGCTTTGTATCATTTCTAGTACTAGTGTACCAAGTAATCTTGAATATAATATAAATACATACATATAAATGCTAAGTGAAGAATAAATATTTAAAAAAAAAAAAACTAGACAAAGTAGTGAAATAATATAAAAGTCATTACAATAATAACATAATTTAATATTATAATTACGCTTACTATAAAAATTAGAAATTAATTAAAGTTTTATAATACGATTACTTAATAGATATATATAAATAAAAATTCATATTTATATATAGACGTATTAGCGCTGAATCGTGTCCATGCTACATAACTGTTCATAAAGTGTCAAGTGTCAATATTTGACGGTTTGACTTTGGTTCCAAAAATATGAAACTATTCATAAAAAATTCGATTCCGATTTAGCCGAATCGAATAATAGAACAACAAGATTAAACTATATTGAATTATATATATACACACTATAATCCGAAGGGTGGGTGTTTGCCCAAATGTTCATCTACAAAGCATAGACACTTATATGAATGAGAAGTATACGTGTCCTGCACGGATCCAACATAGGACCAAAGGGGGCGGATGCCTAGGGATGACAATTTGTCTTGCCCCGTTTTTGCGATTTTGGAGTACCGTTTAGCTTATTTGGGCGGAGATGGTTTGATATAATAAAAATCCGCGCAGGTTTGGTGTGAGGGCAGGGGGAGGTTGCCCTGCCCCGCTTAGATAGAAAAATTACTTAAGTACCGTTATTTCATTAGTATATATATTTTTCAATATATATATTAAGTACCTTATTTAACAATATTAAAGTAACAAATGAATTTGATTAGAAGGAAAGTTGCAATGGTGAATAACGAGGGAAAAAAAAAAGAAGAGCAAATCTATTTCAACAATAAATAAATTATGGTCTTAAATGGGACGAGGCAGGTACCTATGAGGTAAAAATGTTAAACGGTTGTGGGAATCACCCTCGTTTTTACTGATTTAGGCAGGGACGGGGAAGGGGCGAGAGAGTGTACACCCGTCCCCGTTGCCATCCCTACGAATGCCTCTACTAAATTTTTTATATTTTCATTTTATACCTTAATTTTTAAAATTTATAAAGATGGCCCTACTAAAATTACAATTTGCCCCCACTAAATTTTTTTTTTTTTTTTTTTTGCATTTTATATTTTAAATTTTTGAAAATTTATGAAGAAAACCTCATAGAAATTACAAAAATAGACCACAAATTAAAAGGTCGCCCCCCACCCCCCCCCTCGCCCCCCCAAAAAAAAATTTATGGGTTCATCACCGCCCGTGTCATTTCCGAATCGAACACCAACACTCCTCGTCCGAATCGGACACCAACCACTGACCATATATAAAAATTATCTAACACCGACACTCCTCAGACACGTGTCCATAAATAAAAATTAAATTTTATTATTTTGGACACTTAGGTTGGCTGGAACTGCCGAACACTTCGCTGACACTTTGTAACATTTCGAGTACAATAAACACAAACACATTCATATGAACGCTATGTGAAGAATAAATATTTAAAAAAAAAAAAACTACAATGAAGTAGTGAAATAATATAAAGGGGAAAGTCTGAAAAGCAGGCCTATAGTTTCAAATATGTGTAAATTACACTCCTATAGTTTAATTAGTTTATATAAATCCATACAAGATATGAAAATGTGCATTTAAGCACCCTCAATCAGAATTCCAGTGGAAATTGGACATCAGTAGGTCATGTGCCATGCACATGACCATTTTAAACCCTTTATTTCCAAAATTGCCCTTCTTATATTCCTTTACTACCCTACCCCTCACTATATATATATATATATATAACCCTAATCTCTCTCTCCCTCATCTCAGACTTTCGCCTCTCTTCCTCCCTCCTACAAAATTCACTCTTCCTTTTTCCTCCTTTCTCGTACAGAGTTGTGTGGCATCACTATATTGATACCACAACACGCTTTCTGATTTTCAATTTCAAAATTTCCACAAGCATATTAACTTCTTGTCTATGGCACATAACCCGTAATAATGGTGGAACTTGTTTGATGGAACTTACATGACTGGGGACAAGGTTTGGCAAAATGCATACAAAATTCACTCATCCTTCTTCCTCCTTTCTTGTACAGAGTTGTGTGGCGTCACTATATCGATACCACAACACGCTTTCTGATTTTCAATTTCAAAATTTCCACAAGCTTTTTGACTTTCTTGTCCATGGCACATGACCCGTAATGCAACTTAGGATCTATATGAAGTAAATTACTGGGATCAAAAGGTATTACCTTTGCCTAATAGATCGTCTGAGAGCACTATATATGTGTGTGTGTGTGTGTGTGTGTGGTTGGTGTTAATGGGTTTGATGACTTTGAAGATTGGAAGAGGGAGATGTGATTTAGAGGTGAAGGCAATGGTGGCGATCTACCAAGATCGGTGATTTCCATATACACATCATCGATTTGAAGCAGTGGTGACTATGGGCGGCTAGGGTTTAGGTCACCTTCCATAACAAAATAGTGTGAATATGCCCTAACTTAAAACGATGTCCTATTGACAAAGGGTTACTTTGTCTTTTCCCATTTTATGTTATATTATTATTATTTTTAAATCATAGATAAAGGGCTATTTTAGTCTTTTTGTTGCTTCAGTATCGGTCAATAGAGGTCAATGGCCAAAAGGCATTAATTCGCACCATTTTTAATGTATAGGAGAGGTGAACAAACAATTTTTTTGGGGGGGGGGGGGGGGGGGGGGGCTAGAATAATAACATAATTTAATATTATAAATAGGCTTACTATAAAAATTAGAAATTAATTAAAATTTTATAATACTATTACTTAATAGATATATATAATAAAAATTTATATTATTGTATAGCCGAACTTTGTATATTTGACAACATATGTAAAAATCCATCAACAAATTAAAATCCAAAAAAGCAAATTTCATACAACTATAGAAATCCCCCATTGAAAAAAATTTCCCAAATTTTATAGAAGCAAGAGAGAGCTGGAAGAATCACCAAATTTTTGAGGTGCTGGAAGAGTTATCGGTAGGCATTGTTTGTGAGTTCCGATGTCACCATCCTTCCATGCCAAGGCTAACAAACACAGAGGACGAGTGGCAAATGAGAGTGTAAATTGTTTGCAAGAAAAGAATCATATATTTATACATACATAGATTCATATACATACACAAAAACAAACAAAACATATATAGATATAGAAAAATTTACAAACCTGCACTCCTTCTATGTTTTTCGATTTGGGGACCAAGTCCAACCGTGAAACCAATAGAACCAAACCAAACTGAACCCGGCAAAATAGCTGTAAAAAATTCCATGTTTTTCAATTTGGGGACCAGTGAAACCAATAGAACTAAACTAAACCAAACCCGGCAAAAGTATAATTTTTAAGTATCCACATAAGCACCAAAGAATCGAAACAATTCCATGTTTTTCAATTTGGGACCGGATCAAATGGTACAAAATCGGATCAGATCAATTAACGGTTCCATGACTTTTTGTGCACCCCTACACCGGATCAAATAGTATAAAATCGGATCGGAACAAATTGACGGTTCCATGACTTTTTGTGCTCCTACCTTTTTCTTACTTTTTTCCTAGGGAGGGGGACTCGAAATACAGCACACCCGTTCATGGAGGCAAACTAGGGTGAGGGGAACTCAGCAAACCTGTTTAAGGAGGCAAACTAGGGGGGAGGGGGACACGGCACGCCCATTCAAGGGGGGCCAATTAGGTGGAGGGAGACTCCAACATAGCACACCTGCTTGGGTAGGCAAACTAGGGGGGGAGAGGGACTCCAACATGGCACACTCGCTCAGGTAGGCAAACTAGGGGAGGGGGAGGAAGACTCGAACACGGCACATCCGCTAGGGTGCGGGGGAGGTAAACTCAAAAAACGACACGCCGAGCATCCACGCTATCCAAGCCAGGCACGCCGAGCACCCACTAGGGAGGTAAACTCAAAACAAGCATGCCAAGCAAGGCTGGAGCCCGGAGGAGGCGTAGTGTAAAAAAATTTAAATAAGAACCAAAAAAAAATTACATACTGTATATGATTCTTATGTGCAAAAAACAAAAAAAAAAAATAATAATAATAATTAACAAGAAGAAAAAAAAGGGAAGAAAAATGAGAAATTTGATTGGAAAAAACAAAAATAGAGTTTAGGTAAAGAAGGGAAATTTAACTTTAAAAAAAAAAAGAAATTAAAAGAATATTTAGAGCAAAAAAAAATTTAGAAATTTAAAATTTAGGGGTCATTGTATAGAAATTTTCTTATAAATGTACAAATTAAAATAAAAATTACTATATTTTATAGTGGGTGGACTCGGGTAAGCCACTTAATAATGTGGGTGTGGTGTGATAGGCCAATGGCAAGGTGTTGGTGCTTATGGCCAAAATGGCCAAGGTTTAGTCCCATCCTATGTATGTCAATTGCTTTAACAAGATAGAGCTTTAATAACATCCCTTAAATCTAAACTTACTTTAATGAAAAATCAATAATTATTGTAGATCTATGATGAGAGTATAGGGTGTGTAAGATCAAATAAATAGAAGTCATTCATCGTTAAAAATAAAAAATAAAAAATTAACCAATCAAACCTCACTTCAAGATAGAGCTTTAATAATAGCCCTTAAATCTAAATTTACTTTTATGAAAAATCAATAATTTTAGATTTATAGTGAAAGTATAAGGTGTGTAAGATCAAATAAATGTAGGTGATACATCATTAAAAAATAAAAAATAAAAATTAACCAATCAAACCTCACTTCAACTTCAAGATCGAGCTTTATAAATAGCCCCTAAATTTAAATTTACTTTAATGAAAAATCTATAATTTTAGATTTATAGTGAAAGTAAAGGGTGTGTAAGATCAAATAAATGCAGATGATTCATCATTAAAAAAATAAAAATAAAAATTGACCAATCAAACCTAGCTCACTCTAAGTCCCCAAGGTCAATCATATACCTCACATATTTTACTTTGAGAAAAGAAAAGAACTTTTTATGTTTTACATATTCCAACAAACATACCAACAAGGCAACGAGGACGAACTTCTCATATTTACTCTACCAAACACACAGATCTAAACTTCTCTTCACAATATTTGAGAAAGAAATTGAAAGAAAAAATATCTCTTTCACCACCAACTTTTCCTCTCTCCATTGATAGTTGACACCAACCAACAAAACAAACTTTAGATCCCTATGGATCTCTTTCCCTTGAGACTTCTCTCTAGAAAAAAGGGATTTACCTCAAGAGAATTGGTGATGATCTACTTCTTCTTCTTCTTCTCCATAGCTGCCTACCTCCATCCCAAAGGAGTCACACACAAAAAGGAATTAAGGTAAGAAAATACTTTTATAGTCCCAGAAGTGTATTAGGGCTTCAGAAGTGGGTCATGTGTAAAGTCAAAACTACCTTTCTTTCTTTTCCCCCAAGAAAAGTGTATCAAGATTCTCTAGTCCTATCTACACTGTTGGGCTTGCCAGCTAAGGTCAAGCTAAAAAATCGCCTAATTTGTCTCAATTGAATCAGCAAGTTTCTGAGTTGTCAATTGGTTTGCAATTATCACATATTCCTCCATCTTTGTATCACAAATTTGATCAGATTTGAATCTTTCCAGCGGATTAGATCAGAGCTGAGGGTTATAAAAAGGCCACGTTATCAAGTGAATCACATAACAACACGGAAGAGACGACATTTGTCGACACCACCTCCTCCATCGTTCGCCATACCAAAAGGTACTTTCTTTCGCTCTTCTCAAATCTATCTTCATTCGATATTCTAAGGTCGGTCACTAAGATTTTGGTTTGATTCAAATATTTGATATGGGTATTCTGAGTTATATTTTCTTTGACATTTTCTTCACTAAGCAAGGATCAAGAAGTAGAAGTAGAAGTAGAACAAACATGTTGAGCACAGTGAAAGACTCGAGGTGGTGAGGATTTCTCCAACAAGTCGATTCGAAAAAGGTATGGTGCTGTCAAGCGACTCGATTGGGATTGTCATATATAGTTTCAGAAAAAATATATAGAATAGAGATTCCGGAAGAGAGGATCCAAAGTGACAACGCCCATGTAACTCCATTTACATCAAAGTTACAACACCACCTCCTCCATCAAGGAATCCTAGTCCCACTACTTTACCACATTTCAAAATAGAGAATTTATTTCAAAAAGGTAAATATTAGGTGTGAATTTATTTAATTATTTGTATATATGAAGCAAACATACACTCTTGCTGGCCTCAAACTCTCTCCACCTGTATCACACTTTTTTCAATATACTATGTTTTATATAATATGTATGTTAATTTAACACAAATAACTTATTTATCAATTCTACTTTCAAACACTCAAAAAGTAAAAATAAAATAATATTTTACAAATTTCAAAAAAGAATATTTTAAGTGTAACTTTATCACTATGCGTCTAATGTGTGTATCAATGATCGATTCTTATGTCACAATATTCAAAATGTCACAATATTCAAAATGAAATGAGGATTCATGCACCTCCATCTCCATGTGTGCAATTTGAGTACTATTTCAACCTCCATATGAGTATCCCCCATCCAGGTATGAGTACGATGATAGGCCAAATGTATGGTGAGATGCACCGTAAACCCCACACCGTCTCTGTGCCCGTTTGACCACCAACCACAAGGCAAAATATGTAGTACTTGGCAAAGCCTGAGTTGCAACCCCACAGCAAGGACCTCCCTTACTTCCTCGCAATCGTTCTATCAACATGACACATTTAGGATTTCGTTAATGGTCATGGTGACCAAAGGAATGTATTTACCCTACCTCGAGTCTAAATGAAGGACTCTGGCATGTCTACAAACCCAAAGGGTTGTAAAGTGTGCGGACATTTTTGTAAATATTTTTTTTTATAAGTACTGTTGTTTTTAAATTGCCCATGCTCCATTTGAAGAATATTTTTCTTTGTATTTGTGAATTTTTGTCCTGATTTTTCCTTTGGAGATCTAATTTGGTTATGTCGTGTTGCCTGTAGATATATGGCTCTCTCTTGCTAGCCCTTTGCTTATACATCTAGGTTATGTTTGTTTCGAAGTAAAAGGCCTCCCTTGGGTTGATGTTAAGTCTATCAGGTAAGATATGTAAAATAACTTACTGGGGTTGAGGTTAAGTCCATCAGGTAAGATATGTAAAATAACTTACTGAAAATTGTTTGATAAGTTATTTTTGTTAAATTTTAATATTTGTACATCCAAACAAATGAGCCTAAAATGTATCTTTTGGTTATTTTGATTGCATAATTTACAATTCTAAAGTCTAGATGAAGATGCAAGTTCAATGAAAGCACTCTTATTGTGGACATGTCAAGGAAACAAAGCAAAAGAAGGATGAGACTATAATAGTTTCTTGTTAAACTGTATGAAACAAGGATACAACTTGGACATGCCGATTGAGACCCTACTAGAGCCACACTTTGAATTTTTACTAGAGCCACACTTTGAATTTTTATCCGCAATTCAAACTGCATCTAAAAAACGTGTTTGGACCCTTTGCTGTTGTAGGCTTTACCGTATCGGTGCTATAAATTTTATGTATTGAAATCTAGAACAGATGTGTGAAAAATAAATATAAATGTGTGCTATAAATTTTATGTATTGAAATCTAGAACAGATGTGTGAAAAATAAATATAAATGTGTTAAAATTTATTTTCAACATCTAATTTCAACGTACTTAAATTATGTTTCAACATATTTGTTTTGTGTTGAAATTATATTAAAATATAAAATATATATGTTAAACAAAATTTAAACGTGTTGAAAAATGCAACAATACAGTTACACTAGAGAGTTTCACTCTTAAAAATTATGCTTAACTTAAATTTATATGATCCTAGTATGTGAGAAGTCAGGAGCATCTTATACATTGAATTGGACTGGGTTCCACAACTTGATGGAGATCATGTGAGACATGGTCATAGTTGTAATGGGCTGGGTGCTATATGTTCCGCCCCATAAGACTCCTTTAGCAATATCCATACACACAGCTGATCGGACCTCATGAAATGGGCCGAATAAAAAAGGGCCAACGGATCTTCTTCTTCCATAATTGGTACAACACGCAGTAGTAGGGAGACAATCAAATCACCCGATCGGGCCGATCCTACTAAATTCTGTATGAGATTTTCTACAAGTTTGGCCAATCTCTCGTCACGCCGCCTGGATCATAGCTTCCGGGGAAACGGAGATCCTGAAAGTCACCCTTAGAGCTAGCTCCGCAGCGGATAACGTCTACGGGAGTCCTGTTTAGCAAAGTCGCAGAGAATCAAACTACTGAGAACAAAACCTCCTCAATGACCATTGTAGCTAGCTTTCAACCTCTTTTGATCCATATCTAAGGGTTTGGCCCCGAAGAGGAGTCAATCTACGGTTCTCAAGCCTTAGTAATAGGTCTTTGAAGTGAAGCGCCTTGTTTGGGCCATGTCTATTTGTATTTATAATATATAAGTGGGGTCCATTATAACCATAGAAAAAGGTTTTTTTTAGTGTTTTTCCTTCCATTAACTTATACGGAGTAAGCTTTATTACATACCAAAAAAAAGGAAATAAGAAATTAAAACGGATGAGTCATCATCAGAAATTCGACCCTAAACAAAACAAAAGCCAAAGAGGGAGCTCCCACCCAAAGAACCCTAAATTCAAGTAGAGTTTAGAACATAAAACAACAAAAGCTTGAGGCAGGATTTTAGGAAAGAAGGTCTAATTTTGCAAGTGTATTAAAATATTTGTTTCATGTATTAACTTCACCAACCCCAAATCCTAAATTCAAGCAAGGATTTTGAACAGAGAACAACAAAATCAGAAATTAAAATATTTGTTTCTTGTATCAACTTCACCAACCCCAAATCCTAAATTCAAGCAAGGGTTTCGAACAGAGAACAACAAAATCAGAAAACAGGATTTTAGGTAAGAAGGTCCAATTTTGCAACAAGATTACAGGTGAGTCCCTTCTAGCATTGCCTATGTTTAATTTCATATTAAAATTTTTGTTTGCTGTATCAACTTCACCAACCCAGAAACTAAATTTTCTTCGACACTAAAATTCATCTCTAGCACTTCAATTCCATACTCATTAGTCGATGTTTTGGATTTTAAAATTATAAAAGGTCATTTATGAGAAAGCTATTATTAAAAGAGGATAAAAGATCAAGAATTTGAGATCAGAGTAAGCTTACTTTTTGATGATGACTCATCCGTTTTATTTTTATTTTTTTATTTTATTTTATTTTTTTCTGTAATAAACTTACTCCGTATAAGTTAACGGAAGTAAAAATAACGAAAAAAGTCATTTTCTATAATTATAATGGAGTCTACTTATATATTACAAATACAAAAAAACGTGACCAAAACAAATCCTCAAAGTAACTCATTGCACGGGACCATATGAGAATCTTCTTCAGAGAATTCGTGCCCGGCTGAAAGAGGTTGCTCGGCAAGCAAGGCCGTGGTGTTGTTGACCAGAGGCTGTTGATGTCAGCATGAAGTCATGCTGACAACAGCATTTTGACGGTAACCTACAACCTTTCTGATATCCTAATACTTTGTACAAATGTGTTCTAGCCTTCAATTTCTTATATATTAAGATGAGCATAAGTACAATAATACCCCTAAAATAAAATCTAACGGTTACAAGGAGGATTGCAAAAAGACAATCAACAACAATTTCAAATGTTTGCAATCAAATATTATAGATCAACCTTATATTTGATATCTAACAAACATTTTGTCTCTCTATCTCTTCATTGCTTTTTGTTTTCACCACCACATAGGAAACGTCATGCTGATAAGAAGGCTAGCATGGTAAAAAACATATACTACAATCAATTATTTACGAGCTTCTATCAGCTCATCATTACTTCGGCGATTTTTGATAATAAGACTTTGATTTAGTACTTCCAAATCATCCGAGCCACATCTGTTAAAAAAAAAAAATGCACATTCATTTAACACATTATTCAAACTAAGCGACACAAATGGCAACAATTCCTCATATGTTTTGGGTTCTTTTGTAAATAGATTTGAAGGATTGTCCAAGATGTTTGATAGGGTGCAAAAATAAAATAAAAGATAATATCATTTAAGTGTCAAGTGGACCAGAACCATATAATATTTCACAATAATTTTGTTAACAACTATGTTTAGTTGATTAATTAATAAAAAAATAGTAATCATGTTAAGGTAAAAGATAATATTTTAATGAATTTACTATTATACCTTTTTTATAAAGATTTTATTTTTTATAAAAATAAAAACAAAATTAATATTAACAAAATTTCACTAAAATGTTAACATTTCGTTTCCTTTTCTACCCCTAAATTGTATCATTCTAAATCCCTCTGTTTCCTATCTTATCCTATAAAAATCTATTACTTTTCTTTTCTTTTCCAACCAAATTGGGCCACGTATGTGAAACATGCCAATTTGCTAATCAGTCACCCAGTATCCTTATTTATTTTCTAAACCGAGACTTAACAAAAGAAAGGGAAATGTCATTAAACATTAATGTAGCTGGATAAATTATGCAATTATATTAAACACTTAGATTTATCTCCAAGTGAATTTCATCTGCAAATTTTGGCGACTTGAAAGATGTACAGTAAATCATTTCAATTATTCCCCTACCTTAGCTCCTATTCCCCAGACATGATAAAATCCTGATCATGCAACACTATGAATTTAGCTAGGGCTGTTATATTGCCCAAACACTAATCCTATAAGACGGTCGACTATGAAGGGAAAAAAAATACATAAATACATAAATACATATACATCTACGTACACATACAAACACACTGAAGCTAAACAATTAAATCAAAACAAACCTGTGCTGCAACGACCTTAAAATGATACTAATAAAAAAAAAATTTGGCACGGCCTCTGCTAAAAAGGGATTCTACAATAACCTGCTTAAATGCAAAAAAATGTAATAGCCTCTCTTGAGCCTTCAAGACTTATCCAACCTGTCCCAACACACAATACAAATATTATATTTCAACATCCGTTTCATCCATTCATTATGTCTCAACATAGATCATCTCATGGTAGAACAACCATATACCATTTAATCCAAATATCGTAATCACAGTCCCAAAAATATATGGTTAAGATCAAAAATCCATATCTTACAATGTTTAGGCAACTTGTATTAAATTACAGCCCATGAATACAACTACAATAACAAGAGTCCATAAGTTTTAGTACAGAATACAATATGTTAAGTTTTACAAAAATAGTGGGACTTAGATACAAAAATAACAAAATGATCATTTAATCTATACTAGGCCTATGGTGGAACGTCATCCACCACTTTATTCCTGTTTCCTAAAAAATTTTTAAATGAAGGGGTGAGCATAAGCTCAGTAGGAAGTGCCTAAAGCACACCTCTTGAGACCCCGTGAATCCACACAATGAATAGGAATAAAGAAATTGGGATCATACCATGCTGGGAAAGAAAAAATATATATATAACCACAATACCATATCATTAATCCGATACCACAAATGAATATGCCATGCAATGATATACCATGCCATGTAATGTCACTCCCCATTTTCTAAAACCATTTCCATTATCATTTCCAAACTGTTAATGAACCCGTTCCATGGCAACTCCATGGCGGCATGAGAGGAAGATTGACCACTGTCCCTGACCCATGGCAACTCCTTGATGTCATTTGGGGCCTAGGTAACTCAATCACATTAGGGCGATCTCCCTAATCTTTTCTAGGCCTCACTAACACAGTGGTCCCTAGGCAATTCCTAGGCTGCCGGGTTTTTTACAAAATCCTTTTCAAAATTCTTTTTCAAAAATATATGTATATATATATTTCAATTTCATATTCCCATCTCTTTTCCAATGAAGTGCATAGATGCTTCATGCCTTTTATGTCATATCAACATTTATCATCACACACCAATTTTAAAATTTAACTACTTAGCATGCTTCACAAGAAGTTCCAAAGAAATAACATACTTCCTTCAACAAAATTCTAACATGATAAGCAAGTAAGACATGGAATTAAATTCATATAAGCATGCTATTTCATGTAACACCAATTTAAACACATAGACACATATCTCATTACAACAATATGATCATTTTAAGGGAAAACTAAAACAATTTAACATGCTCGACAATAAATTAAATAAGATGATTCACAAAGGAGCAAGAAAAAGTGAATTAGGAATCCCTACCTCCAAAATCATGAAAATGCTCAAATTTTGTGTCATAATTTCGAAATTCCTAGAGTTGGCCAAACAAAGAATTGTTGTTTATACCCACACATAGATCTCGTCGTGCTCTCTAATTTGCCGTAAACGGCGCCCAAAAATTCAAAGTAGTTGAAGATTAATCAAGCTTAATTGTGTGGAAAAAAAGAAAAAGAAAAAGAAAAGAGAAGCAAGCAGGAGAGAGAGAACAGGCAGAGGGAGAAGAAAAGAGACCCATTAGTCATTGTAATGACTTAAAATTGGAGTGGGTCCCACAGCTTATAAAAATATTTACTTTTAACATTATTACCATATACAATGACCAATTAAAACATTACATGCATATGTGCCAATCATATACAATACACAGTGGAAGTCTGGATCAATTCCCTTTTAACATCACAAAACTCACTGTTCCATTTCATCTCCATTTGACCATCTACTTAATATCAGCATTGAAGCCTGTGTGATTTTATATATGCATGTACCATATTAGCACAAACATAAAATACATACTATGAGCATCAATATGTACATACATCATTTAGAAGCAACCAAATAAGAGCAGCAATTATAATGTCTGAAAACCAGATATTTAAATGGTATTTCCCAGAGAAACAAGTACAATTGTTCAGGCATTCAAAAAAGAAGATAAAAAACATCCCATCAAAATGCTGACAAAGAACAAAAGGCAGTGAAAATCTTGTGCCGAATTCTGGGTTCATCAGTTGCAGCTCCACATTCAATATTGTAATGTATTCATATATAGCCTTTTCTGCATCACCTGGCATGAAACCTCATTTGTTAAAACAATGTAAATTCCCAAAAAAAAAAAAAAAAAAGGAACAAAAATGTGGGTGTTAAGCACTTGTATGCATTTGTAAAACCTTTTATATTTTCTATCCATTTCCTTTTAGCTTATGCATATACAGCATAATTTCACATCACCAACAGTTGCCACACACACTTCGTTGTCCTATGTAAAGATAAATCCTATCAATAAACCCCGAATGGGTCCCTGTTTCAATTTGCATGGAAAGGTCGCACAAATAAATCATACACAATGACATTGTACGAGGAATACATGAACTTGAACTAATAAATCTAATGTATACACTTGATACGCACAATTTTGGCTTTCCTATTTTATTGACACCACCTAGAACATTCCATGAACTAACCGACTGGCGTATAGCTAAGTTTCTGAAACTCCATGCCATTTCTTAGACAATTGAATTCAGAACAAAGGAAAGAAAACACATGCACACACACACACATATATATATATATTGGAATGACAAAAATTACCTATTGGGAGGTGTCAATATTTATACTATCACTTGATTAACTAATCAACTGTTTCACAGAGTTTAGAGCACTGTGTCCCAAAAAAAACCTGTCATTTGCAGAATTGACTGATATACTTTTAGTAGTGACAAATGAATCAGCCCTAGGTCCAGTAAATCTAGAAAGCCTAGAAACGAAGTCCCTAGAACAAGATCCAGAAACTTTCTCACCAAAACCTCATTATATGTACATATTTGTTCTCACTCGTGATTCCACATGCAAAAGAAAATCGTAACCAAACCAATCATGAGATTCTAAAACAGTTCAAACGCCGTCAGCTAGTCTTTTAATATATCCATGTATGATGTAGCATATAATGAATGACAAGATGGCTAATGATTCAAATCAAAAATCACTTTTGACTTATATCTTTAATTCATTCTACCAATAAAAGATGAATTTGAATATCAATAAAAACCAGTAAATACCAACCTTAAGCTCATTGTCTCCTGCGCTTAAGTGTCTTCAAATTCTTCAAAACAAAACTAATTCCCTCCTTCATAGTGGCTTTTCTTTCTTCCGTGAAATTGCATAGCTCAGAAACCACATTCCTCTCACCGGGGTTATATTCGTTCATCTCCTTCAAGGCTGTTGTGACTGCCTCATATATGTCATCTCCCCATTCCTCCTTGAGATTTCGCAGCATCGCATCATCGTGATCTATTACTTCCTACATTATGCAGTATCATTTACATTTAATTAATCCAACAACTTATCTTAATTTACAGTTGTAGGAAGAGAGAGGAGCAAAGACTTTCATCAAATTCTTAAATTGAAGCAACATTACAAAATTCACTGAAAATTGGGCAGGTTCCTAACTACAAGAAGCATACTAAAAAAAATATGGAAGTTCCAGCCTTCCAACTACAATGTTTATGTGCCTGTAAGAAACTCAAGCTCAGGATTGCAAAATATATATCAGCATCACGTACATTTGATAGGTCATTGTGATACATCACATGACTCAAGAGTAACAACATATGCAAACACAATGTATGAGAGACAACCTTGTGAAAAAGCATTGAAAGATTAATTATCAAAATAGAGAGTTAAAAATTAGTCCCAGAATAAAAAACATAAATGAGCACAGCATTACATCATTTAAAATGAATGCATACCTGATGTATTCCCTTATAAAACACTACTTCAAAAGGATGCCATTCTGGGTCTTTTAGTTTTTCCTGCCATAGGGAGCATTGCTCTGAGGCCTTGATTTGTGCTTCTTCAGGTGGAAATTTTAGCTTGCATGTGTTCTGAAAAGGCTTCACATCTACTTCTCCCACTCTCTTTATCCCAATTAGGGTGTTGTTACCAATAGTCCACATATCGTTCCAGGCCTGAATTAGAATAAAAGTGTAATGAATACAATGCAGCATTTGGAAATATGATTGTGCATCAGTAGAAAGAATAAAACCGACAATTGCATCCGGCTGCACCAAGTGACGTGGCTGAAAGAGGTTGCTCGGCGAGCAAGACCATGGTGTTGTTGACCACAGGCTGCTGATGTCAGCATGAAGTCATGCTGACAACAGCATTTTGACGGTAACCTACAACCTTTCTGATATCCTAATACTTTATACAAATGTGTTCTAGCCTTCAATCTCTTATATATTAAGATGAGCATAAGTACAATAATACCCCTATAATAAAATCTAACAGTTACAATGGAGGATTGCAAAAAGACAATCAACAATAATTTCAAATGCTTGCAATCAAATATTACATTCCAATAGACCAACCTTTTATTTGATACCTAACAAACATTTTGTCTCTCTTATCTCTTCATTGCTTTTTGTTTCCACCACCATAGAGGAAACGTCATGCTGATGGGAAGGCTAGAATGGGAAAGAATACATACCACAATCAATTCATTACGAGCTTCTATCAGCTCATCATTAATTTGGCACTCTCTGATAATAAGACATTGATTCAGATTTTCCAAATCATTCATTTCATCAACTTTCTGCTCCAGTTCTTCAATCATATCTTTCATCTTCTTTTGAACTGCTGCATCATCTTCATCTCTCAGGTGTTTTTTCATCAAATTCAGATCCTCTTTTAGCTCTACAATTACCATCTCCAGTTTATTTTTAGAGTCGAGCTTATATTCCAATGCAAGTATCTTACTCAAAGCTTCCTCCTTTTCCCTCTGCACATTTTGAAATACCCGGTCAACAAAAGCTACACAAATTCCTACATAATGGGGAAAAAAAGGTTAAAAATGCACATTGTGCATATAACACAGTCCTTAACAGAGCTATACATTTACTAAAATACCTTTGTTATGAAATTTAAAATATAATAATAAATTATGAAAAATAAAAGGTCAAATTTACAAACTACAGTATCAAATTAAATCCTGATACCTTTAGTTTTCTTTTTAGCTCTTCATTTTCCGTCTCTAGTTTCTGTTTAGCATCCAGCTGTTTTTCTAAGTTAAGTATCTTACTAATAGCCTCCTCTTTCTCCCTCTGCACATTTGAAATTCTCCCTTAGTCAAATCTACACAGATTGCTAAATCATGAAACATCTAAGATTTAATTTGCAAACAACGGTATCCGGCCAGTCAAAGCCTAATACTAAGCAGCACACCTTTTGCTCTTCAACCAGCCTCGAGACATTCTCATCAGCACTTTTCTGCTCCATGACAGCATTTGAAGTGAATTATTTCTCACACTGTTCTAAAAGAGTAATACCAAAACTTACAGATAATGAAAATTCCATGCATTGAAAGTGCAACTCCTATTGTTAAGTATTTTAAACAATTCCTTTCATTATAATAAGTTCCCTCTTTTTTGCTTTTTCTTTGGCGCATATCCAAGTATCAGTAATTTTGAATTGAAGACATGAAAACAATAGAAATAATAGGAAAATTGTACACCAATTTCCTGGAGTGAAGAGGATCTGTAAATTATTATGAGAACAGCTTCCAGTAATGGACTAAAGGTGTATTTATTGTTTGCAATATAGGATGTAAATATATGTATTTGAACAACTTAGTGTATGGCACAAGGAATATATGTGAGTGACTTGGTGCAATAGAAAAAACATTCCATAGATACCAACGGGCCAGTGGCCTAGCGGTATCAAGATCTTACTTCCCAAAGGGAAATCAGAGGTTCGAACCTCAGTGGAGGTATGTGTGTGTGAGTACCAACTAAGAAAAAAAAAAAAAAAAAAAAAATTCCATAGATATAAAATGAAGACATGTTTGTAAATAACGTGCAATAACATAGTGTATGATTATATCCCAGATTCATTGAAACTACAAATAAATGGAAATCAACACATTGTAAGTAATGAGGAGACTTTCAATTAAAACTAACTTTTGGTACTGTGCAGACCTTTTGTTCTGCAATAAGCCTTGAGACATTTGCAGCAGCATTTATTTGTTCCAGGCATGCCATTTGAAGTGAATCATATCCCGCAAAAATCTAAAAACACACAACATGGAGTCATCAATACAAATCAAAAAACAACTTTATATAAGCCAAAGCAAGCTATTATATACGGAAACAACTTTTGACAACCTTGTGTACACCAGATTGGAGATAAAATGAGGCATCAGAATTATGGAGAATTTGCATGTAAAGCCTGGTCATATAACATGTTCAGCATAGACATTTATGTTAGACATATGGGTAAACCACATCTGCAAGTACCACAAGTTGAATTGCTACCAGGGCAATTGTTGTATTTAAAGATGTAATACTTATCAAATCCAAAACTCTGGTCAGTTAGATATTAATTAGTTAAAAACTGTTCATGCAGAGACTGTAATTTATGATAACTTGATCATAATAGCTTATTATAAACTATGGTCCCCGTTAAGTGTTGAGATGGGTGGATTAAAAATAGACCTAACCTTAACCCATAGTTATAGAAGGCTCAAGGTGCACTTAGGCGCAAAGGTCTCCTGGATTCTAAGTGCAAGGTGCATCGCAAGGTGTTAGCCTAATAGAAGCAGAAAAGTATTATATGTTCAATATAATTTAGGAAGAAAATTATACAATATACAACACAAACTAGTAAATATCAAAATAATAATTAAAAAAAATCTCAACATATCAATTCAATGGATTAGCTAAATCAACAGAAATAGATGTTTTTCGTTTGCAAAAGAATTCAATTAAATCAAATCAATTCAGGAAATGCAACACAACTAATCAAAACCTTTTTAGCAGTGGAATAATTGACATATCAAATTGTGCAACAATAAGAAAATAATAATCATTTAGATAATATACTATATTATCACAAAGATTCAAATTTGTTCCAATGAATATGGCATTTAGCACATATAAATGTTTTATCTGTTTAACCCTGTGCCTTACCTACCAAAGCCAAGAAGTAAGACAAACATGTGTACAATTTTCCAGATAAATCTCTACCTTATGTAGTTGAAAGAAATGCAATAAGTTTAGCAGTATTTATAGCATTACTTTAGTGGATTGCTGAAACAAGTCTGTATTAGCAAGCATAATGAGGTCTCCCTGTTTACCAATGGGCACCACCTTCTTTATTGGGTATTGTTATAATCATGACATAAATGCCTTGGATTTGAACTTAAAAAGATGCATTCACATTCGCCAAGAAACACAAACAATTAAAAACAACACAAGATGTAATTTAGACCAAGCACGAGCAAAATGCACTTACATCGGAATCAGGAAGCTGCGACATTTCAATAGTATATGAAATATAACCTGCAAATGAGCCAATATACTGCATGGTTAAGAATTTTACAACCTTAAAAGCTGCAACACCTACTACCAAGAGTATTTACCCAGTGGTATCTCCTCAACTTTCGGAAGTGGAAGGTTGAGGATTCCTCCAATGTATCTCCATCTACTCCATAAAGCTTACCAACATTAAATAAAAAAGGATCAAGCGATAACTAAGAACTTGCATTGCTTAAGGATTCAATTGAAATCTAATGACTAAAGATACCAAATCAAGTTTATGCCAGTCCTTGTCCCAATTGGGGTTCACCAAAATTGGGGACAAAGTGAAGAAGATACCACTAGAGCTAATACTTCATTATGCTGGAGTGTGTTTAGATTGTTGGCGTGTTATTTATTTGTTAGAGATAGAGAGAAACACTCTCTCTACAAACACGACATTCAGAGTTCTTGTATACATAAAAACTTTGATTAAATTTTTTCATAATTAAGAACTACCAGTCCCTTGTTACCGATCTTCAAACAGTGGAGAAAATAGAACATGGTCATTAAATTGATGAATTTTCTCTCTATTTTCAACTACAATCCATTATCTAAAAATTACCCAAACACAAACACAATATTAATTGCATCCATCAGAAAAGTGTAGAAAGAAATGAGAGAAACTTACATAGTAAAACCCTTTCTTCCCGACGACACAACTCTATACACAAACGCAAACACAATATAATGTGTAATATATAAATATAATGTGCAACGTTCAATGTGAGTAAAGGAAATGCAGAGTGAATGAAGAGATTTGAACCGTCGAAATGAATGAAGAGGCTAGGCGGTCGATTTTTTTTTTTTTCCCATAATAGATGGGTTACAATTCCCAAAGTACCATCCATTATGGGAATCGCGGTCAAAATAAATACTCTCTTCGTCCCGCAAAGAGTGTCGCTCCGGGGGAATATAACTTTTTAAGTGTTATTTTTTTATAGTAGTATGAGATAAATTTACTAATATGCTCTTGTAGTGATTTATGAGTGGTACAAAAATTATTTGTCTTAGACGCATTTTAAACTTGAATTGTGGATCCACAATAGCTTTTTTAGAAGTTTTAATAACTTTTATAATTTCAAGACAAAGGGTATATTAGAAATATTTAAAAAATAGTGTATTGGTTTTTGAAGTATGACATTTATTTTGGGACAGCAAAAAAAAAAAATATGACACTTATTTTGAGACCGAGAGAACATAATAAGAATAAAAATAAGAAGGACAAAAGAACGTAGTTTTAAAGGTAAATTCTTCTTTGATAACGAATTTCTATGTTTGAGCACACATTTTTAAAATGGCACTTCTGACCTAATTTTTATCCGTCCCATATTGTTTCCTCCCCCCTCTCTCTCTCAATATAGAACATATATATTGGGATTTGCGTTGCCAATTTCTGATCAAAAGAGGGCCTACTTAGAACAAATGTCAAGAACTATCCTTAACATATTTTGAGTTCAAAACATTTTGCCCAGATGATATTATAACAAATATATATCATCAAATAAAAATTGTACTAGCCGGTTAAAGGTGACGTTTCGGTTAAAAGAAATAATGTAAAAAATTGACTAAAGCATATGATTTACCATAAAATATATTTGATACAAAATTTGGACTTAATAATCCTCAGGACGTTCCTTCAAACAATTGCTAAATTTAAAAGGTTAAATTACACTAACCTCTTTTAAAATTTGGACAAATTACATACTGTGTTCAACATTTATTAATTTGATTTTCCTAAAATTCAGCGTGCAATGACACTCATAACATTTACTTTCCGACAAATCTATTGATTTATAAAATTAAAATTTTGTCATTCTCTTATATAAAAAATAATATTTTATTATAATAGAAGAATATTATTGACTTTTTACATTCAAAGTCACTTTCGTGAACGAGTTAAAAGAAAATCAAAGTAATAAACTTTGAACCTCAAGTGACAATCCTCAAGAGAGTTCAGAGTAATTTATAGGGGTGACAAAGTTTGAAACAATTTGTCAACACGACTCTAACACGGAGGACATGAGTTAAACGGGTTTAGGTTAATCTTAAACGGGTTCGGGTTGTAAACGGGTCGACGAGTTAATCGTGTTATGTTTGAGTTGAGATGGTTCAATCTGCGTAACCTGTTTATACCTGGTTAGCTATACGTGTAATAAATACATTTACATTTAAGTAAAAAATAACTATCTAAACAAACATGTATGTTATAATTTACTCTTTTTAGATGAGAGATTATTTAATTATTTGGTTGATTGAAATTTATATTTTCCTAATATTTATTGTTTGATTGACTACTATTAATAATTTAACTAATATAATTTTTTGTTTTACTAAATAACTCATTAAGATTACACATATAACCCATTTAATAAACAAGTTAGGTTAATATTGAGGTTTCCCGTAATTTATCCTATTATAAACAATGCATAGTAAGTTGATTTATTAATTTGGCCATGACTTGCATATTTGCATATTTATTACCTTTGACACATCTTACCTTGAAAAGAAAGTTGAATTTAAGTAAGATTTTTTTTAGTAAGTAATTCAAGAAAGATTCTTCTTCAATCTGTTATATTAAAAACTACTTTCTGTATTTCCTAGAGCAATATGTCTCATCATCTCCCTTTTTTTTCTAATTTTTTTTTTTTTTCACAATTTTGACATGAAATGGAGAACTCACAATACGATTTTTATACATGGTGCACCTTGTTTTAGTTGTCTAGGTTTCACTTTCTTTATTTATGCATGCATACCCTAATCTTTTTCCTTGTAAAAACAGATGAGTTAACTGGAATCGATCATTTCGGATTTTAGCAGCGTAATTAGCAAAGTCTCTTTCCTCACCTCACCTCACCTTTCTTATGGCACGTATAATTCTTACAGAACATCTAGTTTAAGTTGAATGCCAAAGTCTCTTTCCTCACCTCATCTTTCTTATGGCACATATAATTCTTACAGAATATCTAGTCTAAGTTGATGCCATAGTCTCTTTCCTCACCTCACCTTTCTTATGGCACATATAATTCCACAGAACATCTAGACTTCTAGTCTAAGTTGAATGCCAAAGTCTCTTTCTCTCTCCCACTGATAATCAGAAGACTTGGAAAAGCGATGCATGTATGGGGAAAAACTTCTACTGTTATTAATGTCTACTCCAAGTTGAACGGCCGAGTCTTTCTACTAATAGAGAAGACTTCCAAAAAGAGGTAGAGAATGAAGACTTTGGAAAGTGCCTCCATCTTTCTTGATAAATGATAGTCTTTCCAAATATCACGCATAAAAGAGGCAATTCATACAAAGTCTTTCTAACAAACATCACAGATATTATTTCTGATCAGATCCAATGCCTCTCCAGTACTCTTTCAGAATACAAACACAATCTCTAGTGTTCATCACATTGGTGCTGCATATGATCATTATTATTAGTACCCTCCCTAATGCCACTGCCAGAACCGGCAAAAATGAGACGGATCATCTTGCCTTGTTGGCCTTCAAGTCAAAAATCATTCATGACCCTCAAGGTGTGATGAGCTCATGGAATCGTTCCCTTCTTTTCTGCGATTGGGAAGGTGTTGCATGTGGTTCCCGCCATCGTAGAGTCATCAGCATACATCTAAGGTCCAGAGGCTTAGTGGGCTCCTTGTCACCTTATATAGGCAACTTGAGCTTCCTCCGGGTGTTAGAGCTCTTCAACAACACCCTTCAAGGTGAAATCCCTCCTCAAGTTGGTCATTTGTTCAGGCTGCAAACATTGCACTTGACCAGAAACAACTTCGGAGGAGAAATTCCCGCCAACTTATCCCACTGCTCCAACCTCGTGCATCTTGTTGTAAGTTACAATCATCTAGTTGGGAATCTTCCTAAAGAACTCGGCTCCTTGTCAAAGCTCAAACGTCTTATCATTCAGCGGAATCACTTATCGGGAGGGATCCCTCAATTCATTGGAAGGCTCACCTCTATAGAAATTGTGTCCACAGCTCAGAATCTTTTCACGGGCAGTCTTCCTAATGCTTTGGGTCAATTGAAAAATCTAAAAGGGCTTGGTTTTGGCGGCAATCAACTCTCTGGTACAATCCATCCTTCCATTTACAATCTTTCTTTTCTAGCTAATCTCTCTCTGGCTGGTAACCAACTTACTGGCACTCTTTCGCCCAGTTTGGGTCTCATGCTTCCTAATCTTCAACTCCTCCAATTATGGGGGAACAAATTTACTGGACCCATTCCACTCTCAATATCCAATTGTACAGCACTAGTAAGCCTTGATATCGGAAGCAATAATTTCAGTGGGAAATTAGGAATTAATTTTGGAGGCCTCCAAAATATCAGGGAAATTTATCCGAGTGAAAATAATTTAGGAAGTGGAGAGCCATATGAAATGAACTTCATTGATTCTATGGCCAACTGTAGCAATTTGGGGACTTTAGATCTGGCTGTTAACCAATTCAGAGGGCTCTTACCCAATTCCATGGGTAATCTCTCAAACCGACTCTTTTATCTAACACTTCATCAAAATTTCATAAATGGAAAACTCCCTTCAGCAATAGGTAATCTTGTCAACTTAAATTATTTATCTTTGTCAACTAATCGTTTCAAAGGCACAATTCCATCTACTATTGGAAATCTTCAAAAATTACAACGGGCATATCTTCATGGAAATACATTCTATGGGGAAATTCCAGATTCTGTAGGAAACTTGTCATTGTTGAACGAGCTTTCCTTGGGTGACAATAGATTAGTGGGGAACATACCTTCCAGTCTTGGAAATTGCAAAACACTGTTATTGCTTGATCTTTCCCAAAATAATCTCAATGGCACCATACCCAAACAACTTTTTAGAATTTCAGCCTTTTCTATTTCACTGGATGTATCTCGCAACGGTTTGTCCGGATCCCTCCCTGCAGAGGTTGGCAACCTAAAAAATTTGATGGAGTTGGATATATCCGAGAATGAGTTGTCCGGTGAAATTCCTACTAGCCTCGAGAGTTGCATTAGCCTTGAAAACCTTTATATGGAAGGAAACTCGTTGAATTGATCTATTCCGCAATCATTGAGTTCCTTGAGAGGCATTCTGAAGTTTGATCTTTCTAGGAACAAGTTGTCTGGACATATTCCAAGATTCTTGGAGCATTTTTTCTTAAAGAATCTTAATTTATCCTTCAATGATTTTGAGGGTCAGGTGTCCATTAAAGGAGTTTTTGCAAATGCTAGTGCAATATCAGTTGTCGGAAACAATAGGCTTTGTGGGGGCATACCCAAACTTCAACTACCAAAATGCAACATCAAAGAATCAAAAAAACAGAAAAGTTCTCTTGTGCTCATATTAGTGATCTCGATACCGTGTACACTTTTAGGTGTTACAATGGTGCTATCTTTCTTGATTTTTTGGGTTAAAAAGAAAAGAAAAGCTCAACCTTCTGGCATACCGTTGATGGAATCATTCTTGAAAGTGTCTTATGAAATCCTCCTGAAAGCAACTGACGGGTTCTCTCCAGCCAGTTTGATTGGTGTGGGTAGTTATGGTTCTGTCTACAAAGGAATCCTTGATCCAAATGAAACCATTGTTGCAGTCAAAGTACTAAACCTCCAACGTCAGGGAGCTTCCAAAAGTTTCATTGCCGAGTGTGAAGCCTTGAGAAATATCAGACATCGAAATTTGGTAAAGATCATAACTTCTTGCTCAAGCATTGATTTTCAAGGAGAGGATTTTAAGGCTCTAGTTTATCTGTTCATGCCCAATGGGATTCTAGAGAGTTGGTTGCATCCAAGTCCAACATCTAGTAATAGAGAGAATGATCAAATTCAGAGCCTAAACTTCTTCAAAGAATAAATGTTGCAATTGATGTGTTGTGTGCACTCGAGTATCTTCACCATCATTGTCAAATGCCAATAATCCATTGCGATCTAAAGCCAAGCAATGTCCTACTTAATAGGGACATGGTTGCTCATGTAGGAGATTTTGGGCTAGCAAGGTTTCTTCAACAAATTACAAATCCGAATCAAAGTAGTTCAATTGCAGTAAGGGGAACTGTTGGTTATGCAGCTCCAGGTAAGCATGCACAATACATTATTGGTTCTTTTTATTAGTATTTTCTTCTTCTAGGTTTAAAATTGCTCACTAAAGGCACCATAACTTCTTAGGATTTAGATTTGATAGTGAGGAGGCTAGAAGAGACATGGGCCGGATATGACCCGCGGAAATGGCATCCGGTCCGAGCAGATGGGTCCAGCCCATAGAGAAATACTGCCATATGGGCTGAATGCGAATAGCCCATCAAAGATGACCAAAATCCACAGAGGAACGGGCCCAGATGTAGTAGTCCATTAGTGTTTGTAAGTATCTATAAATATGAGAAGTAATGGATAGAGAAAAAAAGGGGAAATTCTGTTGAAGTGTAAGAGTTCTAGAGAGAGAAAGTAAAAATGAACTTCTTGCATCTTCAATTGGCGCCGTCTGTGGGAAACGTTGAAGATTGATTGATCATTGATCAATATCGCGTGGATTCAGACCAATTCGTGAAGACGAAACTCGATCTTTGGGAGTTGGATCCAGATCTGAGCGATTGTGACCTATTCTGGAGGAATTTTAGTTCCTGTTGCTTTGGCGGAAGTGGCTTCAGATCTATGCAACAACGAGTTGTTCGATTGTGGCCGGATCTGACGGATTTAGAATTCGGACAATTCAGATCTTGTCAACCGTAAGCATAATTCGGAGAATTCGAAACCAGATCTGAAAAATTCGCACTCACGAAGCTCAGATTTACTCCCGAACTTGAGATTAATGCCTTTACTCCGTTCAGGAATAATGATAGGTGAAAGCTCCAATCCGATGGAGGCTGTCCAGCAAACGAAGCTTGAGGAGTTGATGAACTTGATCGAAGCTCTCAAAAAAGAGAATGCAGAATTGAAAGTTGGAATGCAGCATCAGCAAATACCTGCGGTTCCGCGTCCACTTCCGGCCGGTGAAGGAGGTATTCAATCTAATATCGCACATCAAGGCGAGCAGGACGAGAACAATCAGTCAGCTCTCCACCGTGATGAAAGGAGGATGGACAATTTGCCGCCAAATGTTCGTCGAGTTGAGGATCACGAAGGATCGACTCACGTTGATCCGCGACATGAGCAGATCAGATAGAACGAAGCCATGACCTTCGATCCGCATCGAGAAAGGTTCAACCGAGAGGAAGTGATAGAGGTTGATCGCCGCCGAGTTGTATCGCCTTGGCAAAGAGAGCTCATTGAGGAACGGTCGTTCGATCCGTCTTACCGGCCCTCCATAGCTACAATCACTCATCGCAGTTCGGAGAGCAGATCTGTAGCTCATAGAGCTACCGCTGGGCTCCAGAAAGAGAATGAAGCACTCCGATCCGCGGCTCGGACGGTTGATTCACCATTCACTGACGAGATCCTGAATGCTGGCATCTAAGGAAGTTTGCTATACCAGTTTTTATTCTGTTTGACGGAACAACCGATCCAATCGATCATGTGTACCATATCTAGTTGAAAATAGCCCTGAATACGAAGAACGACTCTTTAATGTGCAAATGTTTCCCTACAAGTCTAGCCGGACCGGCGCTCAGCTGGTTCAAGAACTTGCCTAGGAGCTCCATTGATAGCTTCCGAAACCTGTGCGATCGGTTCATAAGCCAGTACTATGGGAACAAGCGTCCGCCGAAGGACATCTCGAGCCTATTCACAATGAAACAGTACAAAGATGAACGTCTCCAGGCTTTTCTCACCAGGTTTAATCTCACTAAGAGTATGGTGATCAAATGCCACCCTTCTACAGCGGTTCAAGCCTTCAAGTTGGCCATGACACGTGGCACTCCGTTCCATACCAGTCTGGTAGTGAACACACCAACGACTATGGATGAACTTAATGAAAGAGCCGATGGCTTTGTGCGCCTAGAAGAAGAGGAGGCAGCCAATGCTTGGACAGCGTCGGTCGTGTCGACCGAGGAAAAGTCCAAGGCAAAGATCAGGCAGGCTCAGCCGCAACGTCAGACCTCCTGGAAGGCAGAAAAAAGGTGCAAGGAGGAAGAGCTGATCACTCCGTTGAAGGTCACTCTGGCGAGACTATATCAGGAGAACAAAGATAAGTTTCATCCACCACTGCCAATTAGGCAACCCCTCGAACAGAGGGATCAGACTAAACATTGTGCTTTCTATTCCTATTTCGGTCATCAGACTAACGAATGCAGGAATTTGAGAAGGCAAGTGGAGATGTTGATAGCTAGAGGGGAGTTCGCGAGTTATATTCAAGGCTCGGCGATAGAGCAGAATCGACCGATGGAGCAAGTAAAAAGGAGTCAGAAACAAAGCTCCCACAATTCACAGCCAGTTCGTATAATCAATGCTATCCACGGTCGACCCGAGCCCAGCGAAGACTCAGATGAGCTACTCCGAACGCGCCTATGGCAGGCGCAGATGAAGAAAAGGGTCAGCAGTGTGAATACTCTACACCAACAGATCACATCGATACAGATAAAGTTCGACAGGACAGACCTGCAGCGTGTTCAAGTCCCCCATGAAGACCCGTTGGTAGTCAGCTTGACAGTGGCGGACTGCCTGGTGCGCAGAGTTCTGATCAATCCCGGAAGTAGTGCCAATGTCATGCCGAGGGACACATTTGATCGGCTCGAGATTGAACCAGAGAGGCTCAAGCCCACTGGAAATCCCCTGTTAGGATTTGATGGCAAGAGGGTAGAGCCTATCGGAATGGTGGAAGTAGAAGTTCAAGCTGCAGAACGAGCTCTTATGGAAACTTTTGTGGTTGTGGAGATTCACCCCTCGTACAATCTCCTGATGGGAAGATGATGGATTCACAGAGTCCGAGGTGTGCCCTCAACTCTGCATCAGGTCATGAGGTGCCTCAGACCCGATGGAAATAAGGTGATAGACATTCGTGGGGATCAGGTTGCAGCCAAAGAATGTTATTCCATCACACTAAAATATGCTGGGAAAGGGAAGACGCCCGTTCGTTCGGCGAGCCCCAGATAGCAATTACAGGAACCTCCGCCCAAGCAGAATAGGGTGAAGGAGTCAGTTGACTTGACCGAAGAGCCCCTTCTGGATGTGCAGATCGATCAGTCCAAGCCAGAGCAAACTACCAGAGTAGGAGTAAGACTGACCAGGGAAGAGCAGCAGGAGCTAATTGACTTCTTGTCTCACAATGCCGATGTATTTGCATGGAGTCACCTAGACATGCCTGGAATTAATTCCTCCGTATCCTGTCATTCCTTGAATGTCAATCCCAATTTCAAACCAGTAAAGCAGAAGCAACGAAGATTTGCTCCAGAACGTAACCAAATCATAGCCGAGGAAGTTAATAGGCTGCTCGATGCGGGATTCATCAGAGAAGTGCACTATCCTGATTGGTTGTCCAACGTCGTTGTCGTGCAGAAGAAGAATGGGAAATGGCGAGTATGCATTGATTTCACCAATTTGAACAAAGCCTGTCCGAAGGATAGCTTCCCGCTGCTAAAGATTGATCAAATGGTGGATGCCACCACCGGGTATGAGCATTTAACCTTTCTGGACGCTTATTCAGGTTATAATCAGATCCCTATGGACCCGGCAGATGAAGAAAAAACTTCTTTTGTCACCGAGCGAGGGATATACTGCTACAAAGTTATGCCTTTCGGACTAAAAAACGCGGGAGCAACTTATCAAAGACTTGTTAGCAAAATTTTCAAGGATCAAATAGGAAAGATTGTGGAAGCCTATATTGATGATATGGTGGTAAAGAGTAGGAAGAAGGATGATCATCTGAAACATCTGCAAGATGTATTTGATGTGCTGAGGCGATATAGGATGAGGCTCAATCCAACCAAGTGCTCGTTCGGTGTGAGTTCCGGTCAGTTTTTGGGACACGTGGTCAACCGCAGAGGCATCGAAGTTAGCCCTACTCAAGCAGAGGCTTTGATTAAGAATGCCGAGCCAAAGACGATCAAAGAAGTGCAAGCCCTCACATGACGAATAGCTGCATTAAGTCGATTCATTTCTAAGTTGTCAGACCGCTGCAAGCCGTTCTTT